CTTCTTCTTCTTCTTCTTCTTCTTCTTCTTCTTCTTCTTCTTCTTCTCCTCCTCCTCCTCCTCCTCCTCCTTTTCCTTCTTTTGGTATCATCAAAGTATGGCCAGCAGGGGGAGCAAGAGGACAACCAGATTTTAGCCCACAAGGAACGAAAAAGAAGCATTACTAGGAACCTTCCACAGCTATAATAGATTGCCTCCTTCATGTCAAACTTCACTTACCCTTAACTAATTATGAATCTCTGTCCATGTCTGCTTGCAGACATATACATTAATTATGACAGCTTTAACCTAGCAGTACAAAAGCCTCAGACAGTCTGGCACCAAAGCCAATCAATAAATAGTTTTTTTTTCTTTTAAAAAATCCATTGCCTGTGGGAATGATATTTTCAGGAAAGCTAAACCTTAGAAAATTCTTTTTTAATGTAATCTCACATTATTCATAGGCTTAAACCAGGCTCCAGACTATCTGCTTGATTGCAAAGTTTGCAGGATGAAACTCAGAAGTTAAGAAAGATGGGTGAATGACCCACAGCAGAAAAATCTAAATGCAAAATCCGCTACACTGGGTGAGAAAATTAGCTAAATAAATATAATTTCAAACTGCATTCAAAACCTGCCATCTGAACCAGCTACATCATCTCTAGCAGCATAGCTTTTTGGATTTTCAGCAGTTTTGTCAGAGTGTGAATTCCTTTAAGTGCGTGACAAACTTCCATCATAATTACAGATTAATACAGATTTTATTCTTTATACTATGAATCAAATACAGATTGATTAGTGACTATTGCGAATTAGCATACATCTAGAGGGAAAACTCAGGAAAAATTAAATCAGCAAAAGTAGCTTTTCTAAGAAAATTGTTCAGAGAAGATTTCTATGATCCCCCCTCTTCTCAAATCTATAGAAAAAGAATGCCCTGTTATGGGTTATCTTCTTTTTTGGGAAAATCTCAAAAAGTTATCCTTGAGCCAACAAGGACTCCAGTCCAGCCAAACTGATCAAGATATTTATCCTTCCTTCCTTCCTTCCTTCCTTCCTTCCTTCCTTCCTTCCTTCC